AAAACTAAATGCTACCTATCCTATGTAGGATTGATTCGTTTTACTCTATTTCTCTCAAGTCTTTGTTTTCCAAATTTTCATTCATGTGGGGGATTGTTGGAAAATAATGTTATTGAATAAAAATCTTTATGAAAAATGTTGAATGGAAAAACCAGTTTCATCTGTTTCACCTCTTCAATTCCGTATCTCTTCGATTCATTGCTTGACTCCTCATTCAAGTAACTCCTCTCTTCAACGCTTAACTCATCATTCAAGTAACTCCTCACTCAATGTATTAAAGAGATGGCTCCTCTTCTATGAGTATAAATAGAAGAGCTCTCAGTTGGAGTGGATAGAGAAAAAACACAACAAACAGCAAACACAACAAATAGCAAAATAGTTTCCTCCTCCTTCATTTCTTTCCAGCAGCCCTCGTTTTGTTTCCTCTTCTTCCTTTGCTAAGTTCTTTGAGAAATAGATGCAGCTAGTTCGTAGGCGATTAACGTAATGCAGCGAAAACTGACAACCGATTGTATCTTGGGAATCAAACACCTATCAAAACCTCGTGCACTACGGTGAGGCGGGGAATTCAATTTAAGGAAACCGTGTAAACACGGGACTTCGGTTCGATTTGATTTGATTTGATTCTCTGATATTTACTAATAAGCTTGGAGAGATAGACGCAGCAAGTTCGTAGGTGGTTAATGTAGTGTAGTGGGAACTGATAACCGATTGTATCCTGAAAATCGAACACCGATCAAAACCTCGTGCACTTTGGTGAGGCGGCGAATTCGATTTAAGCTTGTAAGTAAATGTTAGAGAAACAAAACGGGGCTGCTGGAAAGAAATGAAGGAGGATGAAACTATTTTGCTGTTTGTTGTGTTTCTTCCAATCAAGAGCTCTTCTATTTATACACATAGAGGAGGAGCCGGTTCTTTAATGCATTGAATGAGGAGTTACGAAATTGAAGAGGTGAATTGAAGAGGGTGAATTGAAGAGGTGAAACTGATGAAACTGGTTTTTCCATTCAACAATTCCATAAAGATTTTCATTCAATATCATTATTTTCCAACAGTTAGAATCTTTACATCAGTCTTGGTATTCTTGTTTTTCAATGTATTTTACATATAGGTTCTCTAGTGTTTACACTCACAACCAGGTGTTTAGCCGAAACCTTATTTTTAGCCCTAGTTGACCCGTGAGTTACCTCAATTTGGTAATATGATTAAGGTTAATATGCAAACGTTTGATTTATATAGATACAAACCTAGATATGAAATATGGAGGAATGAAATTGTGCATGCTAGGATAGGCAATGATAGAGGTCAATAAATATTCAACTTAAATGTAAAACAATCGAATTATATTATAATGTTCTCTTATTGATTATATGAGAGGTACCGTTGGTGAAATCTACATGGGATATAATATATAATCAAAGTAAGCAAGAGATTATGGTAAATAATGAGATATAACATTTTGAATGAGAAGATAACAATGAATATTAGGTAATTTCTATAGGTGCACAGTACTATACCTCATGCTCTGAAAGATATAACGCTCGAGGCTTTTGACGGTCAATAATGGTAGTCAATGATAGGATGTTAGGTGATATTGTGCCGATATACGGGCGACGGTGTCAATAGGTTCCTTAGTGGCATTGAGACCGTGGATTGACAACGAGAACTGTATACATATGTTAGATTTGTATATATTATATTTCTTAGTGTAGTATCCTGAGTCTTTGTGGACAACGAAAAATGTAACTTTGATGTTCCAAGTATCGGAGGACAACGTTCCCACAAACATTGGAAGACGTGTATGTTACTAGTCATACTCTTGAACTCATTGATACACAATAGTGAGATTTGAGACAAAAGAATTGAAAAATGAATAAGCAGAGATAGCAAGAAAATGTGTGAATTCATATACTGGAGGTTGATCCCAACTCTCAAATGATAGAATGATTTTGTGTTGGATATCTGGTGAGGTTCAATGGGCCTGTCACTAGAGAATCCCCAAATGCATATGATCAATTCTAAAAAAATTATTTAACTTCTGGAAATAATTTAGGATTCATTTGACATGACTTCAACTTTCCGTAGAAGAGATTTTGAAGGAAATTATCTTAATTTTTGTTTGTAAACTAATTTTTAAATGTACTTCCTATTCCAGAAGTACTTTTAGAAGAAGTTATAATGGACTGACTTCCTCTAAAAGTCCTTCTAACTACCAGAAGCATTTTGTTAAAATTAATCAAACGGGCCTAAAAATAATTTTTAAGTCTTAAAAGCTCATTTTGATTTTTCAAAAGTCATGCCAAACGGACCCTTATTATATTTCATAATGTTAAGTTCAAAGTATTGTTTGCTCTCCATTTTGAGTTCTAAATAGTTATATTTTGTATTTTTACTTTTAACTATAGTAGGAGAAAGGTTTTTAAATTCAAATACTCACTCTTGATGTATATTCATATAATATTGTTAACTGATTTGAAAATCATTTTTAGAACGACGTCAGAGTGGTTGGATCATATAACATTAATTTATGGTTTTTAAAAATTGATAGTATAATTAACTTAACCAATAGAAATTAGAGTAAAACTTGAGGATTACTACGTATCTTACAATATTATTATAAAATTACGTGCAAGGTTCATGTTTCGAACTACTCCATTCCTCCCATAAGGGCCTTTTTTTTTTTTAAGAAAGTGCAATCAATGCAGTTGAAAATATAAATTTTACTTACATTTTTTTCTAATATACATTTACATTAAATAATAATTTAAATAAGAATAGTGCATATTTGTTGATAATTAAATAGGACATATTAGAAAATTAAGAAATCAATTATACTCGCAATACAGAAAGTTGCCTATAATTTGGTTAAAAAAATAAAAAAAGGAAGGCAAGTTTATATTCATCACATGGAGGGAGTAGTAAATTTAATGACTCGATATTAAAGTCACATAGGGTAGATAAAACTAAAGTCAACCTTGATTTTGAAAATTTATTTATTTATTTTGTTTTACCTTAAGAATAAGAGGTCACATTTTTTTTTTAAGGAAGAATAAGGCATTATTAATATTGGATTCATCAATTCATAAAAGTAAGAACAAATTATTTCATCGTCCATTTTTTAATAGGATATTTGTATGAATCATTTTTATTTTTATTTTTACAAATTATTAGCAGAGCCAAAGTACAAGAACCTATGCAATTATAGGATAAATTCTATTCACAGTAACTATATTTTTACGTGTTCGGTCGTGCTTAAATTCAATTAAAATTGAAAATAGAGCCGTTATTAGGTCTCACTCGTCTAATAAAAGTCAACAATAAAGGCTAATTTTTTAATTTTAATCTGATTTTAATCTCTACCGATCACGCCTTTAGTATCAACTACGTAATTATACTTCAATTTGTTCAATTAGATAAATATACTTTTATTTGATTTCAATCAGATAATTCCATTCAATTTCTCAATTGGATTGAAGAGAATTGATGATATCATAGTAAAAAAAATGATGGTCACGATTTATTTCACTTAAGTTATACTTATTGACATTAGTAACTAATAATTATGTGTGACGACAATTGTTTATTGACTATAACGTCATTAATTTTTATTCGTGAAATTGAACAAAGTTTCCTTAATTGAAATCAAATCAAAGTTTAATTACCTAACTGAAGTCAAAATAAAGTGAAATAATTCAATTGAAAATAAGTAACAGTGAAATTACCAAATTAAATAAAATTAAGAGTGCGTTTGATTGTCAATATTTTCCATGGTAAATGTCATTTTTCCATCCAAATTCTTACTTTTGTACTATTTGATTGATTTTTTTTTTGTCCATGGAAAAAATTTTCTAATTTTGGTCATATGACCATATTTTTCTTAAAAACAAAGAAAATATTTTCTTTAGGAAGAGTATGTTTTTTTTTTCTTTTAATGTAAATTACACGCTTGCAATCAAACACTTAAAAATGCAGTTGCCTGGATGACACTAATTGAAAATATATTTAGTCCCTGTTTGGGTTCCATTAAAATGATATTTTGAAAGAAAATGTGTTTTGAAATAGTAATTTTTTTAGACAATGTGTAGTTAAAAAATAAGAAATTTTTTTAGTTTAGTATAACATTATTTTATGAGAGAATGTGTGTTTGAAAATAAATTTTGATAAAATGGAGCCTAATAAGAACTTAATGTGCAATTATGAGGTTGTTTGATTCCTTTTTTTTTTCCCCAAAAAATGTGTTTTATAACAGTGCTATGGTGGAAAATATATTATGTGGTAAAAAAATAAGAAATTTTTTGTGTTTGCGAGTAATATTATTTTATTGAAAAATGTGTGATTGAATGAGATCAAATCACTATCCAATAATATATTTTGATGAAAAAATGAGGTTCAAACAAGTGCTATCTTATCTGGTATGGAAACTCCTTTAAGAGTGTGTTTGAGCCACATTATTTTGGAATGATGTATGTTGGAATAGTAGGAGCCTGTTTGGTAAAAATTATCATTTTCTACAGTAAATCAATTCTCATTTTCAACCACACATTCTTCAATAAAATAATATTTTCCATCACATCAATACTCTTTTCTTCTTTTTCAACCACACATTTCCCATCATATCACTATTCAAAAATCAATTAAATGTGATATCCTTTTAAGAGAAAATTTGAACTATATGTATAGATAAAATTTTCTCTTAAAAGGATATCACATCCAATTGGACACTGGTGTTTGCTTTCTGGCCATTTGGGTATAGCCATCAAACAACATGGTACAGCTCCTTGGATGCAGGTCATTAAATGGGACTTATGTGAGAGATATCTAAACTAAATGTAGGAAACTTCACTTGCTGGAATTTCAAGATTTGGCTTCGGTCGACTGATCTTTGCATTGAAATCTTGGCTTCATGTTGTGTTGTTCAAGGCATCTCATATCTGATACTCTAGTTGTTGGATTCCATTGGATTCATTTCGTTTTTAATTCTCTGTTGATGCTTTTGCCCTAAGATTGGGTGGCTTATGACTTGCCTATTTGAGAACATGTTAATTTCTTTTGGTCAAAAAATTATTGTGTTCATGACATAATTTAGCGAATCATTTTTACTTTCTTTCTTAATCCGTTAGCGTTGGATCCTTTGCTTCTCTCTTAAACAAAACTAGTACATCTCCCAAAAGTAAAAACTATACTGGAATTGATCCATCTGTATCATCACCAAATGCTAACACAGACACTTGGCTTACTTTTGAGACTATCTTAAGGTGTGCCAGCCCTTCAGCTCGCTTATAGACTGCACAAATAAAAATTACTCTCGTAATTTGTTATTTCAGATTGAGAAAAGCATATCATGCTGAAATATCGTAACCACAAATTAGACTTCTGATTTGTTGAAATGTTATAATATGAATATCTTAGATGGTATATGGTATATTATGAGTACAATTTTTCTTTTAATGACTATTGTCTTGTGTGGAGACTTAAACCTCACCTCGCAGGCAAAATGCGTCTAACCCAATTTAGACTTTTTAAGCACTAAAGAGTTCCACTGTCATGTTCAATGTTTCTTTAATTTAAGCTTGTTTAACAGATTTGATCGTGAAGAGGTAATCATTTTATTATGTACACTTTCTACTTCGACATTATTATTTAAAAACTGGCGTCTCTTTGTTTCTTTTCATTATATTTCAATCAATCTCTTTCTTTTTTCTGTTATGATCAAATTGCTTGATCCCCAACATATTATTTTGACAGTGCCAACTCTTTACCTTTTTGCAGGTATTAACATTAATTGTTGGAGCTTTATTGAACAAACAGATTGTGGTCGTTCGAATTTGGTAGGCGTTTGTTGAAATTGTATAATTATAATATAAAATGTGACCGAATGATTAAATTTATTATGTATTTATATAATCATAATATGTAATTTATATGTTAATTTTATTGGATTTTTATTAATCGTGGTAGTGTGTTAAATGGCTACAACAAGGAATCAACGTCGTCGCCAACAAGAACAATTAGGTTTATTTTGGACGACAGTCATGCAAGCAATTGTGATATATAATTATATTAGGCGTCGTGAACGACAGCTCCCTAGGGCTCCTCATACAAATTGGGATTCTGAACGAGAAATGACTCTTACACGAATGTTTGGTACGAGTGATACAACGTGTCGTGATCTACTTAAGATGAAAATAGGTCAGTTTCAAAGACTATGTGCTCGTTTGCGAACTTATGGATTGGTTGATAGTAAATATGTTCGAATTGAGGAACAAGTAGCTATTTTTCTTAATACCGTTGGGCATGACCAACGTAATCGAGCTGGATGTTTCACTTTCTTTCGATCTGGGCAAACTGTGAGTTTTTACTTCCATAGGGTATTACACTCTTGTCTTGGACTGTATAGAGAATGTGTGTTTGAAAATAAATTTTGATAAAATGGAGCCTAATAAGAACTTAATGTGCAATTATTAGGTTGTTTGATTCCTTTTTTTTTTCCTCAAAAAATGTGTTTTATAATAGTGCTATGGAGGAAAATATATTATGTGGTAAAAAAATAAGAAATTTTTTGTGTTTGCGAGTAATATTATTTTATTGAAAAATGTGTGATTGAATGAGATCAAATCACTATCCAATAATACATTTTGATGAAAAAATGAGGTTCAAACAAGTGCTATCTTATCTGGTATGGAAACTCCTTTAAGAGTGTGTTTGAGCCACATTATTTTGGAATGATGTATGTTGGAATAGTAGATTGATTGAGAATGTATCGTTGAAAAAAAAAAGTTATTGATGTGATTGAAAATATTATTTTATTGAAAAAATGTGTGGTTGAAAATGAGTAAAATAGGCTAAATATAAATATTTATAATATTACCATATCTCAAAATAACTTCTTGTCAATCTCTCTTACTCCCGTCCACGCGTAAGTATTTTCTGATGTAATTCCCAATATTGGGTCCCTTGACTCCCATCCACGCGTAAGTATTTTCTGATGTCACGCGAAAATGACGATGACTCGAGGATTCTCGATACCTATTACACCACGAAAAAAAAACTATGAAATCAGTTTTTGGTGAAGTTTCCTAGAAATTGGTCATCTCTATTCCTACGTTGTACAGCGTAATGTAGTGTCGTGTCAAAGCCAAATGTCATTAACACTCCGTTAACCTAGTTTCCCGATTCACAGTCAAAGAAAAGCAATAGACCCATCCAAGAAACAGGGAAAAAAGAGGGAAAAAATTGAACAATAATCTATCTAGAGTCTCAGGTTGACCGTTGAAGGAGAGAAACGGGTTCTGGGCTATCTTGGAACCCACTAATATTTTTAATCAGATTTAGATTCAGGATATTGAATTTGGTATTCTTGATTTGGCTGTTTCGGGTAGCTGGGTTCATTCAATTTGCAAGATCTAATTCTGGTTCTTGCTGTCATATCTTGAGAAAAAATTGGGTTGAAGAAATTTCTTGTAGATCCATGGAATTAGGGTTTGAAAATTGAAAGTTTGTTGATTGGTGTTTTTTTATTTTTTGGTTCAGACAATTGATGAATCTTGTTTTTACTGAAGAAGAGGATTGGCTTGTGAACATAGGGTTTGTTTTCAGGCCATTGTTTTTGCCTACTGAGCAAAGAGTATTTTCATTTTGCATTCCAAGAGATAGATGGGATAAGGAGTTTTATCAATTACAAGGGGGATAATTAGTTTATAAAAAAAGTTCTTTTCTTTTGTAATTTGATTGGATAATTTGAGGATTTTGGATATGGGTTCTTCGCAAGGATCTGCTTTTACGGCAAACGTGAGAGATTTTGTTGATAAATCATCAGCCTGTCAAGAGGTTAAGTATTTGGATAGTGTGCCTGTATATGTGAAAGAGTTGATTGCAGGAGGCACTGCTGGTGCATTCGCTAAAACTGCGGTTGCGCCTTTGGAACGGATAAAAATCCTTTTGCAGGTGATTTTTTTCTACCTTTTAATATTTTTGTTCGTTTTATGGGGTTGATTGATAAAAGCTGATTATAATAATTTGTTCACGATATTGAGTTGTTATTTGTTTAACTAATTGTTAAATTTCACTTGACATGGTAAAACTTTAGCTATGTATTCACTTGGATGTTAAGGTTAACTTGTATGTGCAAATAATAATCTAAAAATAAGTAATTTTTGATGGATTTTCGACACAATAAGTTATAATGAAGCATAAAAAACAGGGGTTGTTTCTTTCTTTCTTTTTTTGTTTTTAATGGCGGTTACAGCAAAATACTTGTGGATTTGAAATCGTCTGCTTCTTCCTTCGCACACTAGGTTTAAATTTAATCTTTGATGTAGTTGATTCTCGGCCTCATATTAATGATATAATCTCTCTACATGGTCCCATAGCTTTGTATTGAAAAAGTTGAATTTTAATGTTTAGCCCCTGTTTGGTGAGAATTAAAATGAGATTTTAGTAGATTTTGATAAAAATTGATGAAATGTGTGGTTGAAATTAATTGTTGACTTTGACTTAGATTAAAATCTGGATTTTAATTTCCATCAAATAGGGGCTTAATATTTTCTTGGCTTTATGAAGTATATTTATCTCTCTGGCTTCTAAGAACGGAATCATAATTGTCATATTTCTATAACTGTAGTTTTGGTATATTTATTCATTAATCGAGCCTCTTTCGTTGACTTTCGCTGTTATGCATAAGAATTGTTGTTCAAGTTGTTCCATTTAGACATTCATAGTATTTTTTACTCTTTTCTTTCGTTTTCTAGACAAGAACTGAAGGTTTTCGTTCCCTTGGAATCTATCCATCTCTAAAGAAGCTATTGAAGCATGAGGGCATTTTAGGATTTTATAAGTAAGTTTCCGAGTCAGCCGTTTTCTATTCTTGTTTATTAAATTTTATGATTATTGATTTAAATTATTCATTACAATGTTTTCAGAGGAAATGGAGCTAGTGTCCTTCGAATTGTTCCATATGCGGCACTTCATTTCATGACTTATGAACAATATCGGTCTTGGATTTTGAATAACTACTCAATTTTAGGAACTGGACCTGTAGTAGATCTTTTGGCTGGTTCAGCAGCTGGAGGAACTGCAGTTTTATGTACTTATCCGTTAGATTTGGCTCGTACCAAACTTGCTTACCAGGTACTTATTCTCTACATTATTTAAATTTCTCATTGACAAGGCGAGAAGCATTACTACTTCATTTAAGCTGATACTTATTTTCATTATCTCATATTTTCATTAAAATATTCTTTTGCATCCAAATATTTTAATGGATATTTTATAATACTTTAGTGCCTTCTAAATTTACTTTTTCTCGCTTTATAGTTTACAGACACCGGAGGGAACTTGCAAAGGGGGTCAAGAAGCTTTCACTCTCGACCTGAATATAGTGGCATAAAAAATGTGATACAGACCGTCTACAAAGAAGGGGGAGTACGTGGTCTTTATCGGGGCATAGGTACACATGCATGCGGCGTTACTATTTTTTACTTGCTTTGTACACTATTTTGCATCTAACAATTAGGTAAATGCCAAACTTATCAATTGACTAATAATTTTGAAAAGCACTTAAGTTGTTTGTAGAAATGGATTGACGGTGTCCATGGTGGTTGATCTCAATATTAGCTCTGGATAAGATTAAAACTCAGTGCTTCTTTGATAAAAGTTTGCTAAAAGTTTATTAACTTGTCAACTGGTCAAGCTTCTATTTAAACCACACATTACAACTTTTATTAACTTGTAGATTTTGAGAAAGCAATTTACTTTCTTTTTCATTGATATATTAAATATGATTTACAATGATCTATTTATAGATTACATAGGAGAAATAGATAAAGATAAAATAACTATGAGGAAAAATAATTTCTAAAATATCTCATAGGATATTCACCCATTTACAACTAACTTCCCTAAAATATAACAATCTAACCTCAAGCTCAATATGTTGTTGTAGAAACCAAATAAAATTGAAAATTAAATTGATCTGAGCAATTATACTTTTTAAGAGTTCGAGCAAATCATCATTTCCAAGACTGAAATGGTACTTCAGAATTGTATTTACAATGCATGCCGACTAAGCCAACTAATAGCTAGAAGCCGGTGCCAAAGAAACCGTTATCCACCATGACCATCACCAAGACTTGAGGGGCATATCCCACAAGAACTTAGGCGAACCAGGAGGCTGAGAAAATGTGATGGAAATAAATTTGGTGGACAAGCAATATGATTTTCTTCCAAATAATAGGTGCCAACATCATAATCACCAACAATCACTCCCTCAACATGAGGGTCTTGTGACTCGAAGCCATGACCATAACTCTGACATTAGCAAACTGAAAATTCATGGCTTATAGTATGTAAGATTTTGAAAAATTCAATAGCAGATTTGCAATTATTAAAAATAGGAGCGAGCCTTGAAATTCCAAAACTTCATCTTACTCACTTTATTGGATTTTTATTTAGTCCAATATTAGTCACTGCCCAATTGAAAGCCTAATATTATGCCCAATCCACAAATTTAACTAATTATAAATGTATAAGCAAGAACAAGAAGATTACAAAATAAAAGCCAATTAGAACATTTGCTCAAAGAATTATATACAAAGACAGGAAGAGGATCCAAAAATATGTTTGCACCACGAGAACCAAAAAATGCAGCAACCTAAAATCAGTTGGGACTTAAGACTTTTTTTAAGTGGATGACTTATGCGGATTCTATGGACTTTTAAGTGACTTCTATGGATTTGTTAAGAATTAATAAGAGTCTTCCATGGACTTCTGTAGATTTTGATTAAAGATTTTTAAAGACTTTTCATCTTACAAATTCATTATATACCTAGAAAATTACAATCTTTCTTACTACCTAATTAACATTTTCGAGAACCATAATGCCCACAAAATTTTCTTGGGTAAAGTTACTATCACGGCCCAGTCATTCAATTTTGGCGCAAATAAAATAATAAATTTTTTTTACATCAATTTCTAAGAATATAACCAATTTTTTTTTCACAAAATTAACATAAATTCTAAGAACACAAATTGTTCTTAACCAATATAAAAAAGAATAGATCGATTACATGGAATTCTTTGAAACAATTGCATATAATTTCAATTCAAAAGTAATTATATATATATAGAATAATCATAAATTGATTACAACAAATGAATTGAAGAGGTATTATAAAATCCTAGAATTGAAAGAAAAAAGACGTTCTTTTTTTCTTGCTCTGAAATCTTCACAAATCTCAGAGTATATGAGAGATTTTTTTTTAGATTTTCTATTTATATTTTTTTACCAAAAAGTCTCCAAAGGTCCAATAACTAGAGAATTCTTCAAAGTCCGTCTATTTGAATACCTCAGGACTTACAAAGAATTCTAAAAAGTTTCAATTGAATACCCCCTGACTTTTAGAGACTTTTTGAAAGTCTATAAAAGTCTCAATATACCTAAACTTTTAGAGTGAAGTCTCAATTGAATATTCCTAAACTTTTTAAATCCTCGAAAGTCTTTGAAAGTCTCAAATAAATACAGGTTGGGTCCTATATTAGATTTAGGGTCACAATTAGGAAGAGGGGAAGCCATGGCTGTATTTTTTGCTCTTTATTGTTGTCAGACACGCAATAAGCTTCTAGAAAACTAATTGTAATAGATCACTAGAAAACTAATTAGCTAACAAGCAGTCAAATTGCCTCCGATTATGACTTCAGCAAAAATAGATGTGGTTTGTGATTGAAATTTTTCCTCTTTTTGCAGAAAAATGTTCAAGGTTTGCAATTTGATGTGGGTTCTATGGTTTGCAATTTGAAATCATAATTTTTGGATTCCCTAATTTTAGAGTGAGGTATGGGGTAGAAGTTGCTGGAGCGATATAGAGGTTAGAGTTGATATTGACTGAACGAGCAGCATAAGGTCATCGAAAACTGGAAACAATTGCAAGATTAATCCAAGATCAGACTTGCTCTGGTAACATGTAGAATTTGAGAAATTGATGTAATCGATATATTAAATATGATTTACAATGATCTATTTATGAATTACATAGGAGAAATAGATAAAAGTAAAATAACTAATTGACAACTGTGAAGAAAAATTATCTCCTAAGAAATTCACCTATTTATAACTGACTTCCCTAAAATATTATACAGATTGATTTGATAGACTTTCCAACACAACTTTTTAACCACTCATTTCATCAACTTCTATCAAAATCTACCCAAACTTTTATCAAAAGCTTTGTTAAAAGTAGAACTTACAAGCAACTTTTTAGTTCCAAACACGTTTGAATAAGTTACCTTCAAGAAAAAAAATTACTCATTTAAAGTAATACTTTGCAGTTAAAATAAGCTAGTTATTTTCATTTTTGGTCTCTAAACAATCATTTTATCTTATGAATAAAGTGATATATAACTTTTTCAGCTAGTGAAACATGCTCTTAGTTGTTGTAACATTGGTTAGAAGACCATGAAGTTTGAAATTAGATCTCGCTTTACACAATCACTTAAATCTATTAAGTGTTTTTTTTTTCAAATGTGTTAGTGTTCAGAATGAGTGAAAGTCTCTTTTGCAGGTCCAACATTGATCGGTATTCTTCCCTATGCTGGTCTGAAGTTCTACATCTATGAGAAACTAAAGAGGCATGTTCCTGAAGAGCACCAAAAGTCAATTTTGATGCGTCTCTCATGTGGAGCTTTAGCCGGTTTATTTGGGCAGACTTTCACATATCCATTAGATGTTGTTCGAAGGCAGATGCAGGTATTGCTTTACTTGCATCTGGTTTAGTATTATTTCATTTGATTTTTAAGCTGCGATTGGCATATTCTTTTTTTACTAATAATGCTAAAGTAGAAATCGGTTTTTTATTAATCACTTTTAAGTTTCATCAGGTCGAGAATTTGCAGCCTTCATTACGAGATGGTGCCAGATACAGAAGCACCTTGGAGGGGCTTATGACCATTGTCCATAATCAAGGTTGGAGACAATTGTTTGCTGGCCTCAGCATTAATTATATCAAGGTATTATCTATGCTCTTTGTTATGCATTAATCCCTAATCCCTTCTCATGAAATTAATAATAAATTGAATAAACTCAGAAACAAGCAAAGCAAACATACAAATTCGCAGTCAGATACGTCCACTGGCAGCTGCAAGTTTTCGCTATAATGGAGAGGAACTGGCATGCTAAAAAATCCTTTATGGAATATTAGCATTTTTACTTGTGGGTAAATGTACATTATGATCTTGCTCCAGCCCACTTCCGCCACCAAATGACTCCCACGTGGAATAAGATTAAAGTTTGATTAGGATCTACGTAATCCGACACTCTTAAACTATTTAGTGATTTTTTTTAAAGGGACTATTGAGCATCCGGTGCTTAATATGGTTTTGCGTCTTTCATAGTGGTTCCTTGACTAGTTACTAGGCGAGCTACTTCAATATCTCCATTGTCCTGATGTAATCTTAATATTTAGGAGAATTACAATATTAATTCTACAAGCTACATCATGTCAAAGCTTTACTTGGAATCCTTTTTGACTAGGAAGACGTAGATTTGTAGTGTTTAGCCCTCAACGTGAGAGCTGTGTGTATATCTCTTCCTTTCATTTATGTGGTGTTTCTAATATTAGCTTATACAAATCTGTTTACTTTTGTTTCCAGATTGTTCCCTCAGTTGCAATTGGTTTTACTGCATATGATATGATGAAGGCTTGGCTTCGTGTACCTCCTCGACAAAATTCAAAAGCAATATCTGCTGCTGCATAAAGACGCGGAGTGGAGATATGGTGAAGATACACACTGGGATGTCATGTTCATATTTCGTTTTCCCCTGTCGTCCAATTCATAAACCAGCAATGATATTCAGATTTTTGTGCAGTAGGCAAAGATTGGTTATATTTGTATTTGATATCAACAAATATATTTTAGCCTCGACTCTTTGTGCTCGACTCATACTTTGAGGTCATTCGTATATTCTCTCCTATTGGAGATCAACTCATATATCAAAAAGGCTACTTGTTAGCCCTTACAGTCCAGAGGCAGTTTATTATAAGTCCTTACCTAGCTGGGATAACGTATATCTTAAAAAGTTATCACAATTAGATAATAATTATTATCTGATTTTTGAAAAAGAAATTAATTTTATCTGATTTTTGAATTTGAAACTTAAAAGTGTAGGGTGTAGGGTAATTTTCACAATATATATATATATATATATNGGAAAATTTCTCCAAGTGGATACGATGAATCGTCTCTATCACTCTACACAAAGAAAATGAGCAATTAAAACTCGAAAGTAGCTGAATTAGATAGTGTATTCATTTTTGTTTTCACTTGATCTTTTAGTTTTAAAAGGAATTTGAGTATGATTCATTTTTTCCATGCCAAGGGCTTCCTCCAAGTTGTTTGATTCAGCCATAAAAGGCTTTGTCTTCATAGGTATTGAGGTGGGCCTACCCCTCCCCTTACGAAGTGGTAAATAATATGAACTCTCTGAAAATAAGTAGATGTGACATAGCCGAAGCAAAAGCAACGATCTAAAAGATAGGCAACTGTAATGCAGTGAATGTAGAGGCATGATGAGCTCTCTGAAAATAGATATAGCTGTGTTATAACTAATACATAGACGTGGCTATGAGTGCATAAGCGGCTTATGATAAGCTAATGCAGAGGCACGATGAGCTCTCTTGAATATAAATGCATCTGTAATGCAACAATTCATATAGTGAGATATTTTGCGAAGCAAGGAATGAATATCAAGCTAATGAGTCGTTTCAAACTATCGGAATCTTATAATCTGACCTCAGGTGGACGAGGTCTTACAGATGTGCTCGACGATAGTGAGGGGCGAAGAATAAATATCTCGTGAAGTCAGAAATAAGCATATGGTGAGGTGGAGAATAAATATCTCGTGAATAGCTCTCGAACTATCGAAGTTTTAGAAGTTGGCCTCAAATAGATGAGGTCTTATAGCTAGACTTGATGATAGTGAGAAGCGAGAAATAAACATCTCGCGAAGTCAGGAATAATCATATGACGAGGCGGGAAATAAATATCCAGCGAATAGCTCTTGAACTATCGAAGTCTTATTTGCCTCGAATAGACGAGATCTTATAGCTAAGCTTGATGATAGTAAGAGACGAAGAAAAAACATTTTGCGAAGGCAAGAATAAGCATCGGCGAGGCGGGAAATAAACATCTTGCAAAAAGCTCTCCAACTATCGGAGTCTTATAAACTGGTCTCGGATAAAATAGGTCTTATAGCTAGGCCCGACGATAGTGAAATGCGAGATATAACATCTCGCGAAACCAGAAATAAACATCTAGTGAGACGAAGAATAAACATTTTACGAATAGCTCTCGAACTATCGGAGTCTTATAAGTTGGCGTCGGATAGATGATGTCTTACAACTAGAATCGACGATAGTGGGAGATAAGGAATAAGCATGCAAGGCGATGAATAAACATTTCGCGAATAGCTCTCGAACTACCGGAGTCTTATAATCTAGCCTTGGAATGACGATGTTTTATAACTAGGCTAACGATAGTAGGGATGACAACGAGGCGGGTATGGGACGAGTCAACCATTTCCACCCCCGTCCCGTCGAGTATTTTTATTATCTTAGCCCATCCTCGTACCAGGTTAAAGCAGGACGAGGCAGGTTCGAGGAGGGATCGGGGTGGATATCGCTCCATTTATTTTTTATTTTTATTTTGTTTTTACTTTTATTTTTTATGTCTTTAGTTAGTAAATATTATTTTTTTTTTTTTATGAATTTGTTAAAAACAATTTAGGTTCTCTTTAAAAATGACAATAAATTTATTATTTTTGTTTGATAAAAAACTTAAATTTGAAATTAACTTTAAACGGGGAGAGGACTATGTTTTCCATACTCGTCCCTGCCCACTTCGACACAATGACCCTCGTCCCAACCCCGTTTACCCGGTTAGGCAGGTAATCCCCTCCCCATTCGGGGCTGGGTTTCACGAGTATTGGGTTGAACGGATTTTTTTGTCATCCCTAGATGATAGTAAGAAGCAAGGAATAACCATCTTGTGAAACCAAAAAAAAACATCCGGCGAGACGGAGAATAAACATCTCACGAATGAAGCTAGGAAAGACTCCTTTTGCAAGGCCAAACACATATGGCGATTTGCCTCTTCTTTTTTTAAAGAACAAATACTTTTAAGATTTCGCATCTTCCTTTATTTAAGGAACGCGAACTTCAAAATACCGCTTCAAGGAACGAGGACTTAAAAATGTCGCATCTGATAATAAGAAATCCATGAGTTAAGGCTCACTTTCAATAATAAGAAAACCACGATTCAGGACTCGCTTTCAAAGATGCGAGATCTTACAAGCTAGCCTCGAACATGTGAGGTCTTAGAGCTTGCCTTGAATAATAGTGATGATGATCAAAATGGACTTTGAATAATAGAGATCCAAGCTAAGCATATTGTTGAACACTTCGTGTACATTACATAGTTGTGATTTTCTGCCCAGGTTGCAAATATGCGTCCTTGAGAATTTAATAATTGAAGCACAGTTTGCATATCCTCCTTCATAGGTCATGCCAGACGGATCATTGGCAGGTCTTCAGATGCAAAGGCAAAAACAAATAATTTTGGCCATAAATCCAGGCCTCATCGCCTTAACATTAAACTTTCGACCACTCCTTCCATTATCCTGTGTCAAGCTAAGAATCATTAAATATATAGCAGAAAGAAGGGTTCTTCAAAAAATAGTCCAATTTAATCGACAATTAGTGGCCTCGATTGTTATATTTCAATGTGACCAATTCTTTCTTCCCCTTTGGGGTTTCCATTTATTTCAACTTCCGAGCAGAGCCTGCAAGTCAGCTATGGAGAAACAATTGCAGGAAAAGCAAAGTCATGCTGGCAACCAAATGTATTTATAGTCACCATTTAATATCAATTTGGCATTTTGAGCCTAAATTTTCATTTCTTTAAGCTGTGGCGGATTTTTTTTACCCAAATGACAGCCTCATTAAACTCAAGCCAATGATCATAGAAGCTGTCTTTTAGAAGCCAAACAAATTTACTGCCAAAATTCTCAAAATAAAGGCCAGTCAGTATATAAATTTTCAAGGGAAAATTTCATAACTGTGGTTGAGTTTCACCCATTTCAAATTTAAGAAATAAGGTTTAAAATTTCAAATATCTAATTTTTTTAAATTTTATTTATAAATTAATTAATTAAACATACATTTTATTAATTAAATATATTAAGGTCACAATTCCATATAATTTGGTCCCAAATTTTATATAATTGGTCACATATTATTAATTTGTCATAAATAACAAATTTTACATGTCACAAATTATTTTACAGTCACAATTCAAAAATTTTATAGGTCACAATTTGTTCATCAGTCACAAATAAAAAATTGAAACGTCAAAAATTATTTTACGGTCGCAATTCAAAAATTTTATATGTCACAATTTGTTCATCGATCACAAATTAGAAATTTTATGAATCACATTATTTTACTGTCACAAATCAGAATATTTATAGGTCAAATTATTTTACGATCACAATTCAGAAATTTTATAAGTTATAATTTGTTCATCGGTCACAAATAAAAAAAATTATACGTCACAACTTATTCATCGGTCATAAATCACAAATATTATAAGTACAAATTGTTAAATTATCGGTTTCAAATTAACAATTTTTTAGGTCACACATTATTTTTTTGTCACAATTTATCTTTTTCATTGGTCACATATTGTTTATTGGTCACACATTAACCAATTTAATGATCACAAATGACCAAATAATTTGTGACCACCACCTCACCACTCCCTCCAATAGCACCATTGCCATCGTCACTGCCACCATCACCACCACCTCCCGACAGCAACAACGCCCCATACAAATCAACACATCGCATAAAACACCACCACATTCTCGCACTGATCGACCACCACCTCGACAGGCCCATCGCCACCAATATCACCACCACCACACCAAGATCCACCACCGTCGTCACCAACAAAACCACTGCATACAACCACAGAACAACCACTGTCTCTTCTTATAGATCTGCTTCGCTTCTCATAGATCTCACATACCACCACCACCACACGAACTTTCCCGACGCTACCAAACTCACCTCCAATTAGCCTCCATTCCCAACACAGATCCACCACCACGTTCAAAACATACCACCATCGTACATCGCACCACCCATAACACACCACCCCCACATTACACTATCACCCCTTACACCACCACTACCTCAAAAATAGCAGCAAAACATGAGAAGGGGAGGTGGGAAAGGAGAGGAGAGGGAAAGCAGCGGCAACGTCGCCACGCGAAGGATGGTGCCGGCGTGGTAGTTCGCGACGCTGCGCGACGAACGTGCGCAACGGTGCTGCTGCTACGAGGTGCCGTTGCACCGATCTGTACAGCTGCCGTCTGAGTGATCGCCGGAGCAGTCTTCTACTTGTTGACGAGCCGCTGGAGGGAGAGGAAAGAGAGAGTCGAGACTGAGGAGAGAAAGATGGAGAAATGGAGAGATTGTATAATTAGGGTTTGTATAAAAATGAAATGTCTGATTTTTGAAAAGTGAAATTTGATATCTAAAATTTGAAATTGAATCTTGAAAACACTTGATTTTGTGTAATTTCCTCAATTTTCAATTTAGGAATAGCAGCCCACTTAAACGTTGTAAATTAGGATTGGGTATAAAATGGTGGCTGCCCCCAAAAAGTCCAATGTCAACTAATTTTACCATGGAAAACAAATCATGGGCCACCCACTTTACCTCAGGGAAAATCATGTAAAAACAGGTAGTTGAACTTTCAAATTCAAAAATCAGGTGTCAAGTTTATTTAATCAAAAATCAGGTATTAATTGGATATTTTATTAATTTATTAATACATATAAAAATTAATTAATCTACC